TAAATGCAAAATCTTTCAATAAAATTTCTCAGTTTCACATTGAGTACTCCTACAATTTTCTTGGGCATGTTTCAAGGAATTATTATAGAAATAGAATAAAATAAAAATATCCGGTCTCCAAAGCTGTTTTATATGTTCGCTAAATATGATAATATAATTCCTTCATTTTGTTTTTATTTCCAACAAAGATTTTGAAATATCTAGACAGTTTCTCTGGTGACCAAAACCAACAATCCACCATTTTATATATAATATAAATGTCACTGTGAAGACTATAGCCCACTGAGATGTGAAATTTTCTTGAGAACTTTTCAGTGAATAAATAAATAAATAAATAAATAAATAAATAAATAGATAGATAGATAAATAGATAAATAGATAAATACATACATACATACATACATACATACATACATACATACAAAGATACATACATACATACATAAATAATTATCAGTCCTCCACAATGAGACAATATCTAAGGACATTTGTTTTATTCCTCACCACATGCATCCACAGTGGGATTTTATGTTACAACATTGCCCCCTAGTGTCAAAAATGATGAGGGGAAGCGTATTCCTAATTCTCCAAGGATTTTTTTTATTTATTTATTTATTTTTGGTGAAGGTATTTCCTCAATATGAGAATGGCAGTGTTGGAAGAAAAGTCTTTATCCTGGTTCATCCAAGCTGGGAATAAACATGGCAATTGTTTTGGGAAGAAGGTTGTAGTTTATTGGAGAGGAGAGCCAGACAGGAAGATGGTTCTGGCAGCAAAGAGGAGAGAAAAAGGGCTGAACACATGTAGGGAGTAGGTTTTTATACCCTCTGAAGGCTCTTGTTTGGAGTTGTTCCTGTGCCATGAACTTTGACCTGAGTCTGAGTGTACCTTTCTGGTATTCTGATGGTGATGGGTTAATCCTATAATGTCCAAAGGTCATATCCTGCTTCCCTGGGGCTGGGGCTGATGACTCTTAGAGTTTGGATGGGGTATGCAGATTTTAGGTCTTTGTCTTCTTCATCTCCTAGCTCCCTGGATTTACATCTGCATTTGTACAGAGCTGGTTTCTGTTTTGGGGAGGCAGAATGGGGCTATTAAGAAAAATTGGGCATGCTTTTCTGTCTCTTTAAGATCCTTTGAGAAAATATATTTTTCTGCCCTTTTAATATTTCCTTCTCTGGGGGGCTGACTTCCCACAGCAGTTTGGATATTTAGAAGATTTACTCTGAAGTTTCATATCCAGGCTTCTGCCATGATACTAAAGGACAATATTCCATTCCATATTTTTTCCAGAACATAAATCACCTTGTAAACAGGGAAGATGAAACGGATTTTCAAGCCATTTTCATCATCTTATATTTTCCTTCAGCAAACTCTCTGATACCCAGAATAAAACATCCTGAAGTTCTCTCTAGGCAGAGATCAATCCTCATTGACTAATCCAGTCAAGTTGAAGAGTGGTCTGAAGAAAGGAAGGTTCTTGTTTGGCTTCAGATTCACTTCCTCTCACTGTGACTCTCGCACAGTAATAGACTGCCGTGTCTTCAGCTTTGAGACTGTTCATTTGCAGATACAGCTGGCTTTTGGCATCGTCCCTGGAGATGGTGAAGCGTCCCTTCACTTTGTCTGAGTAGTAAGTGCTAGATGTACCCATGCTTGCAACCCATTCCAGTCCTTTCCCTGGAGCCTGTCTCACCCAGCCCATCCAATAGCCACTGAAGGTGAATCCAGAGGCTTGGCAGGAGAGACGGAGGGACCCTCCAGGTCTTCGCACATCTCCTCCAGACTCCACCAACTGCACTTGAGACTGGACTCCTAAAAGGAATATTTTTTAATGAGATCTCCTGCATCTAAGAGCAGAATTGGGAAATAAAATATATAGTGGAAATCATTACCTTTAAAGATTGCTAGTAAGGACACAAGGTTTAGTAACATTTTTGATTGCTCTAATGAATGGATGGAAGCGATAGGAGAGGATTCAGGAAATATTACAAGGTTTATGATTCTGGGTGTTGTCTGAAAAGGGAAACCATGGGCCTCCTTTAAAGGGGAAATTGTGCCTCGATTTACATATCTGTTGGGATAAAAGAGCCCCTCAGCTCATTGACAAGCACACTTCTGTAAACATCACTTCCATGTGCATTTTGTAATTAAAATTCCAGTCCTAAGAAAAGGGTTGGGACCATATTTTTTTATGAGATAATAGGAATGGTGCACATTAACTAACAGAAAAGACTGAAAAATTTCAGCCCTTCTCAAAATGATTGAAGGTAATAGAGATGAAACTAATTTACTTATTAGAGAACATATAAAAAGGCTAGCACATCAGACTTAGAATCTTTACTACAAGATAGCCTCCTTAACCTTTTTTTTTTGTTTTATGGAAAATAAATGGCAGCTAAACATCAAGGAACATTGGGTCACTAGAATAGTTGGACCACTCAACTCACAAAATCAAATTTGAGTCACATTGTGACCAAATACACCCTCTTATTTGAAACAGAATGATAAATAATTCTCTTCGTATTATTCAAAATGTTTTGTTTGCTCTATGTTATCTGTCATAAAGCCAGATAGGGCTTCCAGGCAAGGATTTTGGTGCCTTGAGAAATTAAATTCTTTTGAGATCCATTAAAGGAAACTTTAAAATCTTCTGGGTTGGTGTATGTATTTGCCTCCATAATGTTTTAACTGTTTAAATGTTCAATGAATATGATAATATAATCCCTTCATTTTGTTTTCATTTTCAGCAAAGGTTTGAAATGTTTAGACAGTTTCTCTGGTGACAAAACCGACAATAAATTATTTGACGAACATTTTGTGTTTTTCAATTAAAATTCCAGCCCTATAAAAAAACTTTGGACCCATTGTGTTTCCTACTACCACAGCCACACCAAGCCAATGGGCCACACCCACCCAGCACCCGACGATGCATAAGTGGATTTTGGGTTGCAGTTTGGGCACTCAGTCTCTAAAAGGTTCGCCATCACTGGTATAAGGTTTGCTGCTTGAGCAGGGGGATGGACTAGACACTTCCAAAATAAGAAAATATAC